TTTGTGCCCAGTTTTCAATACTTTTTGTTTGTTCTTGATAGGATTTCACTATGTAGTCCAAGCTGGCTTGAACTTCTATTTCATTGTCTTAACTTCCTCGTTGTTGGGATCATAAGTGTGTACTCCATGCTTGAAAGTTCCTAGTTCTTATTCTTCTACCCCACTCTTCACCATTTCAGTCATTGTGATCTTGCATTCCTTTGATACACACAATCTGGAATTTGTGCTGTTGTTTTTACCATGTACTTTCTACCACTAGATATTAATACTCATGTCCATTTCCTATCATTTATGTACCATATGGTAGTGTGCAAGCTGCATGACTCATTTTTCATGTCTGGAAAGTATTTATCAGATAAGAGTACTGGAATACAATTATTATGCCTTCGGCCAATGGGGAGTTAGCAGCTGCTCATTCTCCTGCAATTGCAAAGACAACAAACAAACAAACAAAAACTACAATATGCAACATAAATGATCATGCCCAGATTAATGTGCTCAAGGGTGGCTACATATAGACATGACTCCTTGAGCTGGAATTACTAGATCAAGGAACAAGGAACTGCATAATGTCAGTCCAGACAGCTGAATTTTTTATTGATTAATTTTGTTATTTGACAATTTCATACGCGTGTGTAAAGTATTCTGATTACCCTCTCTTCCCCACTGTAGAAAGCTACATTTTTAAATAGTCTACACTAAGGTAACCACAATACACAGCTTTATGGAACTTGGAAATCCTGGAGAAACGGTCATCTTAAATGACTTTCCTGTTGTGCTTTTCTTAGCAGGGTTTTAGATAGGAAGTTTTATTCTGAAAGTAGCCTTTCACATTTCCTGTTGCAACTATAGGATGAGTCATAAGCTTAGCAGAACTGGAATAAAACAACATCTGAGTCCTATGCACACTGGAGTGTGTGAGTTGTCTTTTTACTGGCATGGAAGGGTCTTAGGTTTCTCTAACAAGTACCACCCTTTGCCTTTTTCATGTTCAAGTGTGTTAAATCCCAGGTCACCCTTTCCAGAAGTTTCTCCTGGATACACAAAAAGCTGCTCTTTCCATTCTTTGTCTTTCCTTATTTACTGTTTGCACTGCTTATTTGATCCTTAAGATGTGCTGTTTTATCATTTGTCCCATGCCTCTATTACATCTTCCTTCCTTCCTTCGTTCCTTCCTTCGTTCCTTCCTTCGTTCCTTCGTTCCTTCCTTCGTTCCTTCGTTCCTTCCTTCCTTCGTTCCTTCCTTCCTTCGTTCCTTCCTTCCTTCCTTCCTTCCTTCCTTCCTTCCTTCCTTCCTTCCTTCCTTCCTTCTCTTTGGTTTTTTGAGACATGGTTTCTTTGTATAGCTTTGGAGCCTGTCCTGGAAGACCAGGCTGGCCTTAAACTCACAGAGATCCACTTGCCTCTGCCTTCTGAATGTTGTGATTAAAAGTGTTCATCACCACCATTCCTCCCATTTCTTAACCTAATGCAACAACTGGAAGACATTAATTAATATAAACAGTAAAAATGATAATGCTATCGAGTTTCTACATCTGCTCAGAGGATTTGGATCTTTTTAATTTAAATTAGAAACAAGCTTGCTTCACATGTCAATTCCAGCTCCCACTCCCTCCCCTCCTACCCTGCCCCCAAACCCCCAACCCCCCAATCAATCCCCACTTCACTCTCCAGGAAGGGTGAGGCCCTTCATAGGGGATCTCCAAAGTCTGTCATATCATCCAGGGCAGGGTCTAGGTCCTCCCCCATGTGTCCAGGCTGAGAGAGCATTACTCCATGTGGAATGGGCTTCCAAAGTCCATTTGGATACCATGAATAAATACTGATCTAGTGCCCGAGGCCCCAAAGAATGCCGAGGCCTCCTCACTGACAACTACATTCAGGGGGACTGGATCAGTCCCATGCTGATCTCTCAGCCATCGGTCTGGGGTACATGAGCTCCCCATTGTTCAGATCAGCTGTTTCTGTGGGTTTCACCCACCTGGTCTTGACCCCTTTGCTCATCACTCCTCCCTCTCTGCAACTGGTTCAGTTCTGCGTTTAGCTTTGGGTGTCTGCCTCTGCTTCCATCAGCCACTGGATGAAGGCTCTAGGATGGCATAGAAGGTAGTTGTCAATCTCATTAATGGGGAATGGAATTTAAGGTAGCCTCTCAACTATTGCTTAGATTTCCAATTGGTGTCATCCTTGTAGATCTATGGAAATCACACTAGTGCCAGATCTTTCCTCAAACCTATAGTGGCTCCCTCTATTATGGTATCTCTCATCCTGCTCTCCTCTATTCTTACCTTGACTCAACCTTCTTGCTCCCCCTTTTCCTCCTCTCTCCCCCTCTCTTTTTCCCAGCTCCCTCTCACCTCCCCCCATGCTTCCAATCCCTTCAGGAGTTCCTAACCCTTTCCTCTTCTCTGGGATACCATGCATATCTCTCTTAGGGTCCTCCCTGTTCCCAGACTCTCTGGTGGTGGGATTGTAGGCTGGAAATCCCCTGCTCCATGTCTAAAATTCATATATGAGTGAGTGCATACATGTTTGTCTTTTTGTGACTGGTTTACCTCACTCAGGTGATATTTTGTTGATCCTAAAGCTGTTCTTTTACTACAGTATTCCAGCACTAATCTAGTGACCTAGAGTAGTGTCTGATCTCTGGTGTGGACAATTTTCAGCCCATATGAATGTCATACTCCTATAAGCCTATGTCCTTGGCTTCCTTGAATGTTTCTGACCAACTGAACTAAAAAATAAGTATATTTAGGGGAAATTTTCCATTACCATTCATTGTTAAGCTGACTCTATGAATAAAACTAATTATAGCCCTCCAGGAAAAAAGCACAAAGGATGTGCCAGTGAGAGAAAATTGGGGTTACATGGCCAGACTCTACGGTATTTCAGCTACAGTGTTCTTCCTCTGTAAAGAGCTATGGAATGTGATGTGATGTGGTGGTGGTGGTGGTGGTGGTGGTGTGTGTGTGTGTGTGTGTGTGTGTGTGTGTGTGTGTGTCTGTGTGTCTGTGTGAGTGTGTGTATGCGTGTGCAATTTTCACGGAAATCAAATTCCTAGATGCAGTCTGCCTATGTGTTTTTAAGTCCTGGCACAGAAGCATTTGACAGACCTACACAATTGTGTGAGGTGCATGGTGTGAGGAGATTTGTTTCCTGATATCTTCTGGATATTTTGCATATGATAGACATGTAATTCATTTGACTGACAATTTATTTTCACAAAACATCTGAGAAGGCTGCATGGACTTTTTTTCTGTTTCTGGGAAGAGAACATTGGATCTGTCTAACTCTGTTTGAAATGGAGACTAGAAACTTAGGTATCATGAAAAATGACAGGAAAAAAATCAGATGATTTCACTTAAATCTTAAATTAGATTTGGCCTTTGATGCTAATAATTACTGCCTGCTCTATTTGCTATGAAAAGAAAACCATCATGTAGAGTGCTTAATACAGATTTGGCCTTGCTATGTTGTTGTTATGTGTGGTTAGGATTATTTGAATTGTCAAGCTGTTACTGCTTAATATTTGGCATGTGAGATGCTGTATAGAAGAGTAAAAAGTTAAGAGGAGATTAAAAACAAATATTTTGCTAATTTCGACATCACAATCCTTTTGGTTTTGTCTCATTTTAGGTTCGAAAGTTTAGCTCTTTCAAAACCAATTCTATCAAATATAACAAACTAATGTCATATTGCTTTCTTAAATGTGTTGTAAGTAAAGAATTTTTCCCCAGAGATATGATTACTTCTGTTAGCTGCTCTTAAGCTAATATCTCATTTTAGAAGCAAAAGAAATCTTATATATAATCTTCTTAAGACCTCAATATACCATGAAATGTAATTCCCTTTAATAAGTTTATGAAGTATTTAAAGATACACTTGTTTTGTAAGTATTTATGGCCTTTCTTCTTGCATTTTAATTTTATATTTTTCTATTAAAATTCTTTTGATCATTTACCTACTTCTGCCATTCACAAATTCACTAGACATTTGTTGTGCACTATTATCCTATCTTGGAATATGAAACATTTCTACTTACAAAACAATTTCATTTTCATGTGGTTTAGTAGCAAATTTTTGTGTAAACATTCTTAGAAAGCCTTTGCTTGTGACACACAAATATTTAAGCTGGGGCTTTTGCAATAGTAAATTGAGTATTCTCAATCTAGGAATTGTGGAAAACACCAAAGTTAAGTCAGTAGTGAGGAGCAGTAGGTCAGTCTTGCTTATTCAGTGCGATATAAAGAAAACTCACCCTGTGGAGAGTCATTTGGCTTCGCTGGTTTTCTGGGGCAGTTTTATAATATTTGATGACTGAGGAGGCTTCATTAATTTTCCTTCTCTATGCAAACAAAAACCCAGAGTTTAAACAATGTCAAGCCATTCCTTCAGGTAGGGCTATAAGGGTGCAATGTCTTCAGTCTGCACTTCTAAATGTCAAAGATACGCATGGATTTTAATCATGAGTCTCACAGTTATCAGAACTCTGACTGTGAGATGATGGGGCAACCAAGCAATTGGCTTTTTAAAAACTCCTTATTATGAGGAGCTTAAAAGCATATAATATGTAAATAAAGTAGCATAATGAACTCTCTACATGCCTATTATTCAGCTTAAAAATGATCAAGATTCTGACGTTGTTCTAAGTTTGAATATACCAACTCTCTCCCCTATTTAATTATTGATGCTTACATTTTATTTTGAAATATTTACAGAAAAACACAAATCTTAGCTCCACAATTGTAATAGATTTTTTAACACCAATCATACCATGATGTGCGGTGGACATTGTGTAACTGTGGATAGCATGTATTCTGTAGGTACCCATTTAGGGAAAAAAAGGAAAGAACTCTATTTGATGTGCAGGTTACTGGGTCTCATATGCGGACTTAACAGCGGACGTAGATGAGCTTTTGCTTTCAAGCTATTAGCTAAAATTTTAATACTGACCTCAGATACAGCCTCCCTAAAAGAATCTTTCTTTGTGTTTCTTCAAGGTATTAAGGAAGAGACACAGTTCACTGTGATTTGGAGGAGAGGGAAACAGAGGAAGACAGAAGTCCACACCAACCCTCAGCGGCTTTCCTTGGCTAAAAAACTGGCTCGAATGATAGCACTTGTTGTGTGTTGGCATTTTTCCTAAGTGAGAAAATATGTTTATTTTAAGATCTCAAGGAATTCAGTTTTGGATTTTAACTTAGGAACTTATTAATACCATTGTTTTCCTATAAGTTCATCATAATGAACATGGCATAGTCTAGCCAGCGTATCACGATGTATCTTAGCAGGTACTATTAAAGAAGCTTTGGTTGGGGAATGGTTGGATAACTTAGAAGTGTCTCTGGGGTGTGTTGGTGGCTGTGAGCAGCAGACAGTATGGTTTAAAAGCCGAAAGCTGCCAGGTGTTGGTGGCGCACGCCTTTAATTCTAGCACTCGGGAGGCAGAGGCAGGCAGATCTCTGTGAGTTCGAGGCCAGGCTGGACCGACAGCCTCCAAAACAGAGAAACCCTGTCTCGTAAAACCAAAAAAATAAAAATAAAAAGCTGAAAGCTTTTCTTATGTGTCTTTATATTGGTTTTCCTCAATCCAAGTAGTTCATAGTACAGATCACTACTGACAAACAAGACTTAATCCACAAGATTTCTTTCCAGTGATAGTATGGGAAATTGCAAACCCGCACTCACACATACAAAAAAAATGAAGTCAGAGCTCTTTACTTGTTGCCAGTATATTATTACTTATTCATAGTGGTAATTTGTGAGGATGGTCATTATAAGTCTGCAGAAAACTGCGTGCATGCCTGTGTTGCTCTTGTATAATCAAAACTTGGAGCTTCAGTAAGGGTGCTCCTCATTTACAAGGTTAATTCTTCCAATAACAGTGTCTATACTCTCACACACATTTCAGAACTGAGAATTTATTGCACAGGCCAGAAACTCATTGGCTATGCAGTGTAAATAACCTTATCAAGAATGCAGAGAGAGGATCTGCATTACTGTTCTGTTGGGTCAGAAGGGTAAATACAACAGGAAAATGAGGCATTTGCCACCAAGTACTCCAAATGATTTATTTTACTCTGGCGTTCTCATTTTGAGCCATTTCACGTGCAAATGTTTGGATGCTCTGCCCTCACCTATGCGTTCAGCTTGAAATTTTAAGTTCTAGCAGAGGTGGGAACTGTCCCAGAGATAATTACAGTGGCCATGGTTATGTGTGCACCTGCTGAAACTGAGGTGAACATTTCAGGTTAGAGTGAGTGGAGACTGAATCTGCTTTGCGTTTTGCTCCAGGGGTTTTGTTTAGTTTCAACACAGCACAAGATGGAGAATGTCTCCTATCAGCATAAATAAGAATCAGTTGATCTAGTTGTAAACTGTGGCAGTTGATCAGAGCCAAGTTTGGGCAGTGTCTTAGTTAGGGTTTCTATTGCTGTGAAGAGACACCGTAACCATGGCAACTCATATAAAGGAAAACATTAATTGAGGTGGCTGTTTATAGTTTCAGAGGTTCAGTCCACTATCATCATGCTGGGACAGGGTGGCATGCAAGAAGACAGGAGAAGTAGCTCAGAGTCCGATATCTTGACTTGTGGGCAACAGGTGGTCTGAAACACTGGTGTGGCTTGAGCATACATGAGACTTTAAAGCCCACCTCCTCAGTGACACACTTCCTTCCACAAGGCCATATCTACTCCAACAAAGCTACATCTCCTAATAGTGCCACTCCCTTTGGAGTCATTTTCTTTCAAACCACCACAGGCAGCTTCTTCTAACTCTTTGGCAATATTCCACTGCTGATATTTACTGTTTAGCTTTAAGTAGATTAATAGAATAAAGCTGTTCTCTACAAATACTTAGTTCTCCATTGGCCATGCATTATCTTTGTAATTAACGTGGTTGGATGTGGTTGTCAGGGAGCACTACCCCAGGGACTGACCTTTAAGAATGAACTTAGTGATTACATGCAAATAACGAAAGCCAGGTAGCCACCTCTAGATTGGGGGTCTCAGAAATCAGTTCTGTTTTGGACTTGAGGCCACTGACCTTTCTGCATGACACCTGTAAGCCTGGGCTCTTCTGGCCAAAGTGAGAGCTGGCTCACCACTTAGTTTTTGCACTGTCCACTCTCTGTCAGCATCTCCTTCCCAGAAGACCTTAACTGATATGCCAGGTAATTCATATCAAGATGTAGAACTATCTGAATACCACCATACTACCCATCACAATGACAATGGACTAAATCTCTGAAGCTGTAAGTCACCCAAATTAAATGTTTTACTTTATAAAAGTTGCTGTGACCATGGTATCATTAACAGCAATTGAAAGCCTAACTAAGACAGCATCCAGACTTAACTTAGGTTTTCACAATAGTCACTTTACCCAATGAGCTATATTCTTAGGCAGTTTCATGAATTTCGAGTTCATACTCTGAATTGACAGCTGGATGATAATTCTGGTGGTAGGAGATCAGCATATACTATTTAAAAGGAATTATTTATTTGGCAAATTGGGTGTGTTTAAGAAAACTCATACAAAAATATTTGGCTAATCTTCAAAAACAGTCTTAATGGATTGTTACATACTCTTTTTTATTTTTTATTTATTCTTGTCTTATATATTACATCGTAACTTCAGTTTCCCCTCCTTCCTCTCCTCCCAGTCTCTCCTTCCAATCCCCTTATCAACTCCCCCTCCTTTCCCTTCAGAAAAGGTCAGGTCTCCTAGGAATAGCAACCCAACATGACATAGCAAGTTGCCATAAAACTGGCTAGCTCACCTCATATTAAGGTTGGAGGAGGCAGCCCTATAGACGAAAAGGGTCCCAAAAGCAAGCTACAGGTCGGAGACAGTCCCCATTCCCACTGTTAAAAGTCTGACAGGAACACCAAGCTACAGAGCCATAGCATGTATGCCGAGTACCTAGGTCAGACTGACGATTGCTTCCTGATTGCCAGATAAATATAAGTGGGCTCCTTTGCATCCAGGTTTGTTGATTCTACAGGTTTTCTTGGGGTGTCCTTTGTAGGAGTGAACCCCACAAAGCTATCCACCCATGAGGGCGGGGACATGTAAACTGACATGTGAAAGGAAAAGGAACCTCCTTTTTTCTCCTGGAAGCCAGCCATGCTTCTAACTCCTGATTTGTGCGACTCTCTCTCTCTCTCTGGTAAATAAATATATTGTTTTCCATATAGCATCGAATATCATTGATAGTCCTTGACTCCTTTGGATCCTTCTTCTCACTCTTCCACAGGATTACCTGAGCTCTGTCTAAAGTTTGTCTGTTTACAGCTTTTTTTTTTTTTGAGGGGTGCGCAGACAGGGTTTCTCTGTATCGCTTTGGAGGCTGTCCTGGAACTAGCTCTTGTAGATCAGGCTGGCTTTGAACTCACAGAGGTAAGGCCTGTCTCTGCCTCCCGAGTGCTGGGATTAAAGGCGTGTGCCACCAATGCCTGGCTTGTTTACAGTCTTTCTTATAATGTGAATAAACCAACAGAGAAGACCAGAGGGTCTCACATGTTAAATAGGGCAACCTGTTCTGCTGCTTATGCTAGAGATACAACGTAATTCACAATTTTCATCGCAATGTTTAATTTTAACATGTAATTCTCCCCCTATTCTTTTTTCCTTTTTAAATTAATTTATATTTAAATTAAAACCAATCTCATTTTACATACCAATCCCAGTTGCATCTCCCTTCAGTCCTCCCATTCCTCACACCACCTCCCGATCCCACCCCCATCCACTCCCAGGGAGGGTGAAGCCTCCCATGGGGGATCATCAATGTCTGTCACATATTTGGGGCAGGACATAGGTCCTTCCCTGTATCTAACCTCAGAGAGTGTCTATCCATAGGGAATGGGCTCCCAAAGCCCATTCGTGCACTAGGGTTAAATATTGGTTCCACTGCCAATGGCCCCATAGACTGCCCAAACCCCTCAACTGACACCCACATTCAACTTGCCTGGCTCAGTCCTATGCTGGTTTCCCAGCTGTCAGTCTGGGGACCATGAGTTCCCCCTTGTTCAGGTCAGCGGTTTGTGTGGGTTTCGCCAGCATGGTCTTGACTCATTTGTTCATCACTCCTCCCTCTCTACAACTAGATTCCAGGAGTTTGGTTCAGTGCTTAGCTGTGAATCTCTGTTTCTGCTTCCGTCAGCTCCTAGATGAAGGCTCTAGGATGACATTTAAGTTAGTATCAATCTCTTTATAGGAGAAGGGCATTTAAGGTAGCCTCTCCACCATTGCTTAGATTCTTAGTTCCCCCATTAACTTTAATGCCAAAGTTTTGGCCTTCTGAAGATATGGGTGGGGTATTATGATCTTGATGGTGCCAGGTTGTGTCTTCTTTCTGCTATATTTATAACATTGCCTTTACTATATGCCTCAATCCACATACTGTTGTCTTCAATAGCAACATATCTATAGTTTTTAGGACGAGCTCTTCCTTAGACCCAAATATGTTTGTTTTGGTTACTTTACTTTCAGAAATTTATTTATATATTGCTTATTTATTTATATATTTTCTCATACATTCCAGGCAATTTAGATTTTTTTCTGATATAACTTTTAAAGCTATCTACTATATTCACTAGTTCTTAAATATAAATGATTTTTGTATTCTCAACATTATTTTAAAACACCATTTAAAAGTATGGCTACTTACTCTAGTTATTCTGTAACTCACCACCATAATTCAGAGCCTATCTTCCTGAATTGAATTTACCAGTTGCTTATGGTTTCAATATGTTTCTTTTATTTATATAATACGATGATTAACTTGAAAAAATTTTGAGAATCTTTTTTTTTTATATTGGTGCTTTGCCTGTGTGTATGTCTGTGTGATGATGTCGGATCCCCAGGTACAGGTGGTACAGACAGTTGAGCTGCCATGTGGGTGTTAGGAATCGAACTCTGGTCCTCTGAAGAGCAGCCAGTGCTTTGAACTGCTGAGCCATCTCTCCAGCCCTGCGTGTTTGCTTTTTTTTTTTATCATTTTTTATTTTAATTTTAAATAGCTTGTTTTACATGTCAATCCCAGTTCCCTCTCCCTCCCCTCTTCCCGCACTCCCCTTCCCCCCCTCCCTCCCACCCTATTGCCAAATCCTTCCA